CAAATCAGCGAAGACTTCCTGCTTGAACATACCAACAGTTCTTTCTTACTTTAGGGGTGGAGGAGGCTTAGGATTGAACCTAAGGCCTTCAAATGCTCCACAGTTACTCCACCACTGATCCTCCAGCCTCCCAATAACCTTTTCTCTCACATCTGCTTCTGATGAATGAAGGGGCATGATAAGATGAACTGGGCACTCTGCTGCAGACATGAAGATGCACATGTGCTCAGTGCCACAGAAGTGAGCCCTGCCACCCACAGGGAAAGGAGGGACCAGGCAGGGTACAGGACACCCACTAATGCTACTGAGCTGCTGCCCATGGGGTGGAAGGACCCCACCAACTCCCTAGCAGTCAGTCTGCTCCAGAGTATGGGAGGCCAGGGATGTTCCCGGTCCTGAACTCACCTGTGATGATGTCAGTGAACCACAGGGAAATCTCAGTCTGAAGGTGACACAAACATCGTGACCAAATGCTGTTTAAACGTGGCGGTGGCGTGTGCCACCAGGAAACGTGGCAGCAAAACTCTCTGAATTAGTGGCTCACTAAGCCAGGGACACACGTGGTTGTGTTGACAGAGGAGAAATGGCTACTCTTTTAAATTCATTAGCCATTTCTGGTTGTAACAATCTAATTAAAATATTAATAAATAAACAGTCTAAGGCGAAGTCTGCTTTTCAAGCCCTACAGCAAACACAGTTCCTGGTGTAGAGGAGAGGCCTTCTAGGAACAGGGCTCTGGGGTGCTGTCACCGTTCAGCCACACTTTGTACCATGGACACAGAAACCAAACAGGCAACAAGAACGGTGGAAACAAAGCCACGTGTCCCCGTGTGCTTCAGCCCAAGCAATGCGGCCAGTGGTGAACTGAGGAGTCTGTACCCAAAAGTGGGGTGCATCCTTCCCTTCCCTCTACTTGTTAGGTGTCTGTATCTGCCTCAGTTCTCCCTCTAGCTGTGGGGTGTCTACATCTCAGCCCTTCTGTGCATTTGACCGGCGTCTTTGACGTGGATCCCACTTCCCCACTGCAGGGCTCCGGAACTCCATCTCACAGCCATAGTGCACAGCTCTAAGGCTGTCAGTAGGTTTGACTTTGGAAGAGGTGGTACAGAGCTACCACGCCAGGGTCAGGGCAGTGTAGCCCACCCAGCAGGTGCTTGTCCTGGGCTCCAGCTTCACTCCACCAGCAAAACCTTATTAAACCCTCTGCCTGGGCCACTGGGCAGAGACTCTGGAGTCGGTACTAGAGGGTCAGTGTGTGTACAGAGGCCACCGCTCAGCTGGCACAGCAACACTCCTGCCGTGTTTTTCCTGGATTCAGCTGTGTGCTGAAGTGGCAAATGCTTGTCTCGTTCAGCGCAGCTCTCTGAATCTTCTTCCCAGGGCAGGGAAAGCAGGCCATCACATCTGTCACTCAGGTATCTATCTGTCTTAATAACAGCCATCATTGCTATGGTCCATGACCATCAACCAATACGCCTGAGCTACAGCCTGCTGGTCTTCATCCTTGATGGCCCACCCACCATCACCACCTTTAGGTCTGGGCCTTAGGAGTCATCCCAGCCGGGAGAAACGCCTCCCACCTGCCACCCGCTCCCCATTTCAAATGTCTGAGTGACCCCTCCTGGGAGTCCCTGTCCCCCATCTCAGAGAGGCAAAGGGGGTTTGAGCTTCTGGAGGCTTCTGGGGTCCAAGGACTTCACAACTGCCCATATGAGGTGGGCGCCTTACAGAAAAAACAGCACTAAGAAACCCAACAACAGCAGCTTCCCACAAATACAACTAGTTGAATTTAAAAGGGGAAGTCCTACTTCAACCTCACAAAAGTGATGGATCACCTAGCAACCAACCCCAGGGAGGCCCCAAGCTTCTTGACACTACAGAACAATGCTGCTCAGGGGAACCTGGAGTGTCTGAATAAGGACAGCACCAGCATCCCAGCTTCAGCCCCAAAGAGCAAACTCTTAAACCCAGGTTCTAACAGGGTTCTCTGGACGTGAGAGATTTCAACCATCTGAATCAAGGGTGGAAGTGGCGATAATGTTTAGAGGGGTCATGAGGGCCACTTGCTGCTACGGTTGTCTAAATGCTTCCAAAATCGAAACAGCACAACGTCCAGTGAAGGCTGATAGAAGCTGGCGGGCACAGCAGGTCAAAAGCATCCCATCCAGGCAGGAATGCTTCAAGTTGTAAAGGTCATATTTTAAATCAGTGGGGAAAGACCGGTTGCTGGTTAAAGTGGCCATTTGGAAGAACTCCCTCCTCCTGCCTGAAGCTCGGATGGACAGGAAGTGACAGCAAGGTGGAAGGAAGCCTAACGGCTGGGTCTGTGAAGTGTCATGTTCCCCAGGAGGACAATGCTAGTGCGGGAGGTCAGCAGGCAGTCATCAAGAGGGCCTCACTGGACACCGAGGCTATCAAACAAGGATTTTGTGCTGCACTGATGTACTGTGAGGTGGACTCTCGGGAAAGCTCCATCTTTTGTCCATTGGATGGACAGTAACCCCCAACACCAGTCCGCACCCACATGGCCAGAGGATGTAAAGGTTTGACGGGGCAATCACTGCCTCGCTAGAGGATCTAGTCCCTCCTAAGATTTCCTCTTTGCCCACCTTCCCATTCCTCAGAACCAACCCTTCATGTGTGATCACCTCAGTCCAGAGTAAGGGGAGGGGGAGCACAAGAACAGTCCATTCTGAGCTGTGAGCGGCAGAAAATCTGAAAACGACTCCTACATTCTCCAATGAGGGATGGTCAGATAAATCAGAGCTAGTCATTCATGGGACATCAGTCAGAGTTTGGAAGCCACAGGTCACTTAACTGTGAAGTCCTGCAAGAAGGTGCTGTGTGCGCACACGCGCGCGTGTGTGTGTGTGTGTGTGTGTGTGTGTGTGTGAGAGAGAGAGATGCCTAAGCAGGTAAAGGTCACTTAACTGCGAAGTCCCGCAAGAAGGCACTGTGTGTGTGTGTGTGTGTGTGTGTGAGAGATGCCTAAGCAGGTAAAGGTCACTTAACTGTGAAGTCCCGCAAGAAGGCACTGTGTGTGTGTGTGTGTGTGTGTGTGTGTGTATGTGTGTGTATGTGTATGATGCCTAAGCAGGTAAAGGTGCTTTTCATCAAGCCTGATGAGCAGTTTCATCTCCAGGACTCAGGTAGTAGAAGGAAGGACTCCCTCAGGCCGTCCTCTGACCTTCACACACACCATGGCATGCATGCACCCACGCACACATACACACACACACACAATTTTTTAATGCAGTAAAATAATTTAAGAGCAAAAGACTCAGGGAACACTCAGCCCTGCCCAGAGAAGTCCCTGAGGGATGCGACAGGGTTTCTTTCTGATTTCATAAAATTCTTCTAGGAAATCAAATAATTTTACTTTTTTGTGTTTCTCGTGTGTGTGGTTTTTTTTTTTTTAAATCCTTTTTTGTTGTTCATCTTTTTGAGCCAGGGTCTCCCTGGTAGTTCCAGCTGGCCTGGAACTCGCTATGTAGATCAGGCTGGCTTTGAACTCACAGAAATCTGCCTGTTTCTGCCTCCTGAGTGCTGGGATTAAAGGCGTGTACCACTACATCCAGCTCGATTTTTTGTGTTTTCAAAGACTTCTTAAACAATGCATTTGTCCTGAACTAAGGTGAGCTCAAAGCTCATCCCACAGCTGGCAGGTCTTGACTTCTCAGCAGCTCCAAGGATTCCCCTGAGGTGTCCACCACTTCTGGCCTTCCTGTCACACCCCTCCACCAGCTGTGGGCCCCAGGTTCCCTGAACCCCAAACACCCCTCTTTAGTAAGAGGCAACACATCTTACTAAAAGGAGGCAGCACACATCACTGCACAGTTCAAAGGAAAAAGGAACCAACCCTCTAGAGACATGTTCTTGGGCTATGTCCATACAGGTTATATCTACTACCAGCTCACAGTGAAGACAGGAAGATCTTTCCCCTACTCCTAGGACCCACTTAATGGGTGTAAAGAGAAGGAATGTCAGGACTAGATCCTAAAGAAACTATTTCCTTTTCGGAGGGTCCAGGGCCCAGGAGTGACCATGGGTCTGGGTCAGCCACAGGTGGCACAGGGAAGCACTGGCCCAAAATTGAGGCCCCATAGAACTCCTGGGTGTCCACCAAGCATCACAAGGTGAGCCTGGCCACACAAGCCATCTGGAGCATCTGGTGAGCAGCAGAGAAAGGACTGGACCCCAGAGATGTGGGGGTGAAATTGTAGCCCAGCAGCTGGGGCCCAGACAGCTCATTTCCTGCACAAGTCTTCCCCAGCTCTCCCACCTAAGCCAGCTCACAGGGACAATCAGCATCCTCAGGCCCCAGAGTCCCACCAACGCTGGGCCTCAATTCACAATGAGAGGCAGCAGATATCCAGCAAAGGCAGAGCTGGGACCGTGTGGGCTGCTTTCAGTCACCCAAGTCCAGTCAACTGGGGTCTCAGAAAGAGCAGGTGGGAACAGAAGACCACTGAGCAGGCACATCTGTGTCTGAAGCTGGGCAAACGTGCTTCCCAAGGAGGGTGTGAATGTATGCCTGGACGAATCAAGTGGTGTGGTGGGGATATTTCAGGACCTCTGAAATATGAATGTGTGCCTACCAGCATGGGAGAAGAAGAGTAGACATGGTGGTCAGTGGGCATTAGTGTGTGGGGGGGGGTGCATCTGGGTACACCTCTTGGAGGGTGGGTGGGTATGGGGGGGTGCGTCTGGGTATGCTGCCTGTATCCACAGTGTGTGCATGAAGGTTCTCACACCTCACCCCCAGGCTTGAGTTATGGTCCTGTCCACCTCGACTCTCACCTAACCTTCCCTAAGAGTTCCCTCCCAGCCCCCAAGGCCCAAGCAGCCCACTCAGGGCCTTTCTGGGTGGCTCAGCATCCCACCCACCACCCTGTGCCCCTGACCACACTCCCACCTGTCAGCTGTCTCAGGGCCTAGCCTGGCCCTTGCTCCTTGCTAGGACCCTGGCCCACCTCCAACACCCAGGCTCAGACCCGGGCTCAGGACTTAGAAGTGACTTTATTTCTCTGTAGTTAATGCCCCTCATGCCAGGCTGCTGGGCTGTCCCTGGCTTGGCCTCCCCTCCCCTTGGGGACTTGGGGGGCCCAGCCCCCTGCCCTCACCCCCGCCCCCAGCTTTCTTCCAGGATGCCTGGTCTCCTGGAGAGGTCCAGCTACCTGGGATATGGAGCTGGTGGAGAGAGGGGAGAAGCCTCACATGTGGGGAGGTTGAGAGCCACAAACCTCGATTCTGAGCTATTGCTGTCCCAGACACAGCCAGGCCAGGCTGGGAGAGGGGCAGCAACAGGGTCAGGGGACAAGCTCCAAAGCCCTGTAGGAGGAGGGAAGGAACATTAGGGCCCAGCCCAGAGGAGAACAGGCCCCAGGCTGAGCAGGAGGCCGGCAGCCAGGGCCCAGGGGCTGCGTCCTGCTGCAGATGCCTGGTTGCACAAATCCTTCTCGCAGCAGTCCACGTCGACTTTTAAGATCCCAGAGTTAATGAACCCCATCAGATAGTCTGAGAAAAAGTGCCGTTTAACGAAGTCACAGGAGGAAGCACACATCTTGTTCACGGAATGATCCTTCCTGCCTAGGAGAGAGAACGGGTGCCAGGCTACAGTTCCACCTCCAACTGAGCTGCAATCAGACCTGAGGGCCCAAACCCCTCCAGATCAGTTTAGGACTAGGGTTCGTGGAGCTGAGGCCTGGACCCACCAAAGCTAGAGCCTGGATAGAAAGGGCCACCAAAGGAGCCAGGGATGCTCTGTTTGTCTCCCCTCCGACTCATTCTAGGCAGAGGGGCTGGGCAGACACCTCTGACCTACCCTCAGAGTCTAGCTTTCGGGAGCCCCACTCCCTCCCCAAGTACAGACTTACTGCTGCTGGTGTCGGTGATCCGGACACTGGCACAAACGGTGTCGGTGGGCTGGCACTGCTTCGGAGTGCAACGGCTGGAGTTGGCCTGAGTGCAGTCCTGACACCACAGGCCCCGTGCTAGGCAAGGAATGGGGAGGGGGATGACCAGAGGAACCCAGGCCTGGACAGCCGGACCCAGCACCCCCTCTGTCCCCACCTGCTGCAGCCATAATGGCAAAACCATGCTCACACACAGATACCACTCCCAGGTCGGCCCTGTCACTGCACCTGCACACACCGCCTCCCACATCCTCATAACCCTGCACACTGACCCCGGAGCTGGGTACGAGCTGGGTACCTTCCAACACAGAAAGGGCCCAACAGACTTAATGGGAAGCCTGGTGGTCCTCGGAGAACGAGGGACATCTGCTCAGGACCAGAGTGGAAAGGCTCTGGGTGCCCTCGGGTACTGGGAGAGACCCTAGCGGCTGGTATCGCAGGGGTCTGGAGGGGTTGGGCTTCGTAGGAAGCCCATGGGACCTGTTGGAGGATCACGGGCCCTGCGCGCGACATGACCCCTCCCCGCGGACCCCCGACTCACCGGGTGCGGGGCACAACAGCAAGGCCAGCAGCGCCAGGCCAAGGCTCTTCATGGCCGCGGGCAGCATGCTCCGGGCAGGCCTGGGGGAGGCGCGGGCACCGCAGGAGGGGGTCCTCTGGGGTGCAGGCCTGGCGGGGAGAAGCCTAGGTCAGGGGAGCCCGCCCGCAGCCCAGCCCCAGGGACCGTCCCCTTTTCTGGCCGGAGGAGGCGACCTTCTCCCAGGAATCCACTGCCGGGGTCTGCCAGGAGCTCGCACTGCCCCACCCCCAGCCCACCACTGGGAGCATCCACCGTCGCCGCCTCCCCGCCGGGCAGAAAAGGTCCGCCCTCCCCAGCGAGCGGCAGCCCGAGGTACCCGCACCCCTCGGCCCGCACCTGTGTGGGGAGGGTGTCTTCTCTCCCAGGGGAGCTGAAGGTGCGTCCGAACAGGAAAGGCAGGAAGAGGAGGGAGCGCACTGTACCTGCCGGCGGGGGAGGGGTGCGCGCCGCGTCCCCGTCCCCGTCCCCGTCCCCGTCCCCACCCCTGGGCTGGGGGGCCGGGAACCCCGCGCCGAGTCCCCTCCCCCGGTTCCCGCGCGCGCGCCTCGGCGCTCACCGCGGATCGGGGCGTGGAGCGCGGGCCTCGGGGTCGGGGGCGCACTCACATCCCTGGGGTGTCCGCACTCCGGGCTCGGCGGCGGGCGCGGCGCGGGGAGCGGTGCCCTTCGGTCTCCCTGCGGACCGGAACCCGGACGCAGCCTCGTCTTTCGGGGAACGCAGCCGCAGACGCGGACCCCGCGCGAGGGGCGGGGCGGAGCCGGGGCGGGGGCCGCGCGGCGGGGAGACGCGTGGGGCGGGGGGCGCCCGGGGCTCGCACCCCGCCGCAGCCCGCCGGCTCTCGGCGCCCCCTCGCCCGCACGTGACCCCCCTCGGGTCCCCGCACCCTCGCAGCTGCCCCCCGCCTCCGTGTCCACCGCCCCTACCCGTGCGTGGGAGGATCCCTCCCCTTCCCGGCCGAGGTCCCCTTGGAAATTCTCGGAAGAGCGTTGGCTGCAAAAGGAAGCGAAATGCGCAAAGCCGCAGCGGAGGAGGGAGGCAGCGGCCGCGGGGCTCGGCGGGTGCTTGCTGCGCCCCCGGGGTTCAGATGCCCGGCCTGGGGGCTCCTCCCTCCCGGTCACTACCTGGCTTCCTATTCCAGCCGGCTCTGCTCTTTGGTGCGCCCATGACTACGCCCACTGCCAATCCAGCCCCAGGGACTTTTGTCACTAACCACACCCAAAAGGTGACAGTCCTGCTGGGCATCCGGAGGGTTATCCGGGTTCACACCTCCAGCTCTTACCCTGCCTGCCTTGCCACGGGCGACCATCCCTCCTCTTCCACCTGCTGTGGTCTGGGAGGACCGGTGTCTGATGCTCACCGCCCTAGGACGTGGGAAAGGCCGTGAGCTGACCTCGGTTTCTGCCCTCCCAAACCTCTCACCAGACAAACGATTGTCACTAATAGCAGATCTTTGCCAGGCGTGACAACCGAGTTGTCGTTTTGAGCACACCGTATCTGTTCGTGTTCTGAACACCCACATACTTATCTCAGGCAAGCTCGTAAGGCCCTGCTGTGGGACTAGGGCCACAGATCAGAAGACCACACAGAGAGGAGAGCTTCCTGATCTCAGGATCACTCTCTAGGAGTCATAGCCAAGATTGGGACTCAAACAGCCCGGGCACCTCAGTACTTCACAAAGTGCAGAGGAAGAAGTCAGCGCCAGAGAGATGAAGGACTCGTGCCTGAGTGTGGGGAAAGGGTCTCCTACAATATGACGCTTTGAAGGAGGGGTTCAGATGAAGAGCATGCAGAGGGTGACTACTAGCTCACACAGTTCTCTTCAAAACAAGGACACATCGTAGTAGGGCCCCAGAGCCAGCCTGTTGGACAGAGACCGATGTGGGCAGAGCTGGCACCTGCCCTGGGGCTGAGGGTGTGGTCCTTGGTTGGGTCCCTGAAGCAGAGTCCCAGGCAGACTTCTAGGCGAGCCTTTTCTGTGGAATTGTGGGGAGCAGCCTTGAGAGTAGGGAAGTGGTCCTGTGTCCGGCTGCTTGTAAAGGCCTGTGGCTTACCTAGGTTTACCTCCAGTGCTAGCAAATCAAACTGGGGTGGCATGCTTTTCTGACACACAGTGCAGTGCAGCTGTCTGTGCATTACTCTGTGCTCCGTGAATCTGAAGAACAGGTATGGGTTAGAAAGTCTGTCTCTTGTCTTTTTAACTCCTTTTCCAGGAATATTCAATCCCATGGTTAATTACTAAGATGCAAAGACTTACATGTGGAAGAGGGCGAGACAGAAACCCTCCCTTTCCCTGGAGGAGAAACAGCAGAGCAATTCTCACTCTAAACCGAGGAAGATATGAATACCATCTGGAGGCTTTCGGCAGCCTAGGTCAGGCTTTCTTACGTTTTTCCCTGGTTACAGCCCAGGGCAAGAAAGACTAGCAAAGGCATGGGGCTGAGCAGCTGTCCTGGGAATCCAGTGGAGCCCACACCATGGAGAAGGCCTAGAAAATGGGTGTAAAATCAGGCCTTGGGTATGTCAATTTAGGAATGAGGACTGAATTTGTACAGTAATTCTCCAAAACCAGTAGGGCTGCTCTCAGGAGCATCCTCCAGTACCTTCAGTTTGCCACCCACTCAAGAAGGCCAGGACTTAGCTGGATCCCATTAGTAGTCAAGATAGGGCCCGACCCTGAAGACTTACAGTTGCTAACAACTCTTACTGGTTCCCTGAACCACAGAGGCAGATAACAGACAGTGTGCTGATTGGCAGCTCATGGCTACTCCCCCTGCAACCTCTGTCCCCCCCCACACCTTTGTGGCTCCAAGCAAGACCGGGGGTGGGGGGGGTGGGGGGGATATGATACAAGCCATTCTTGGGGCTCTCCTGTTGGCCTGAGCTCTAGTGAGCGTCTCTGTGCCTTTCCACTGCTCTGGCTGCTCTTCTTCCTCTGGTGCCTAATAAAATCCTTTCCCTTTTACCTTACCCTTGTCTATGGGTTCCCTTCCTAGAATTATGAGACACCAACCTGGTGTTGGGCTCTGGGGACTAGCCTGCCCAGCACCTTTGTGCCAACACCAAGCCGGCCTGAGTCTTTTGACTAGACTCTGTTGCACTCAGAGAGATCACCTGGGTCTGGACAGCACAGGCAGAGCAGCTCCTCAGCACAGCAATGCCAGGGTGGCCCCACGTTAGCAGTCAACACCTAAAGGAAGTCTTCTCTGCAGGTGAAGTGGAGGGCAAATTGTTGGGACAAGGGAAACAGTTTATATAGGGTAGGTAAGCAGCCTCCTGCTTAGGGAACAGGGTTCCCACGGGGTCAGCTGAATCAGACGGGAGCTCAAAATGAAAAATCAGCAAGAACAAAAGTCACACAGAGACAAGCACTAGCAATAGACTGAGATCCCCCAGACTCTCCACACTAGAGGTATCAAGTGCAGAATCAATAATTGCTGTGCTTATGAGGAACAATAAATGAAGAAAGACATAACCATTAAGCTGAATAGCTTGTTTGTCTGGAAAAAAAAAACTGGAAATGAGAAATTTTTCACTAAAATAAAAAGAAAAAGGTCAATAGAACCCTTGAAAGAATTCTACTAAGGAGCCAGTCATCAAGGAAAGAACCCAATATATTATACCCTTTTATTTATATAAAATGTCCAGAATTTGAAAATTCAACAAAGAGAGAAAGATTATTCAAGTATGAAGAGAGGGGGAGTGACTGGTTTGTGGCACTACTAGTAAATAAAGTGATAAAAAGTCTTGTTTTGGCCGGCGTGGTGGCGCATGCCTCTAATCCCAGCACTTGGGAGGCAGAGGCAGGCGGATCTCTGTGAGTTCAAGGCCAGCCTGGTTTACATAGTGAGCTCCAGGACAGCTGGGGCTACAGGGAGACCCTGTCTCAAAAAGATCAAGAGGAAAAAAAAAACCCAGCAGATGAGTTAGGCAGCAGATCAGACACAGCTGAAGAGGGAATTTATGAACTGGAGGACAAATCTGAAGAAATTACCAAGAAAGGCTGAGGCTATAGCTCCGTAGGAAAGCTCCTGCCTAGATATTACCAATGGCGTAGTGGGAGGGGGAAGAAGTTTAGAAACTTAAGGAGCCATAAAGATGGTGTGTAGAGAGCTAAGAAAAGTCTGGCTGAAATTTCAAAGAAAGCCAATGTTTGGAGATGTCACACAAAATAAGTCAGAACTTGTGAAAGTTAGTGTTTGTCTGATCTTAATATGTATTAAGTAAAACGGTAGTGACAGCTGTGTCTAAGTACGGCACAGTGAGGCTGCAGACCACCAAAGACAGGAAAACCTTTAGAACAAAGATCAGTTCTAAAGAAACTGGTGGCAGAATGTTGGCAGCAACAAGCCGAAAGAGAGTAAAAATCATATTTTTACATATTTTAATTTGGAATTTTATGTACTGTTTTCCAAAATATAAGTACAAAACAAAATTTTCAGACAATCATAAGTTTAAAACACAACTCAGTGGCAAGAAAACAAATAGCTTGACTTAAAACTGAGCAATCAATTAGAATGTGGATCACAAAAAGATGGACTGCCACCATGCTGTTCAGGATGCACAGGGAGTCCTGCATGCTGTTAGTGACAATGTGAACTAACCCAACCACACGGGGAAAACAGTCCAGAATTTCCTCAAGGATCTAAAATGGAACTGCTGTATGACCGGACCATTCACAGCCGGATACGGATCGGACGGAAAGGAGTCCATTGAAGGAACAGCCATGGTGACTCTGCACTTCCCACAATAGCCATGAAGAATGGACAGACAGACACAGTGAAATACCATTCATCCTTTCACAAAAGGAAGAAAAGCTTGTCCTTGTACCAACATAGATGAACCTGGAGGACAATTTGCTAAGTGAAATAAGCAGGAGGGCCTCATGATCTCACTCACATGTAGAATCTTTAAAAAAAAGTTGAACTCATAAAAGCAGAGAGTAGACCAGGGGCCAAGGGAAAGAATCAAGAGTGGGTGCAAAGTTTCCCTCAGACAACAGGAATAAACTTTGAAGATCTGTTACACAGCAGTGGGCCATGGCCAAAACAGTATTTATTTTTTTAATTAGTAAGAGAAAGGATTTTAAATGTCTTTACCAAAAAAGTGAGGTTGCAGACAAATTAATTGACTTCATTTAATTATTCTACAATGTACCACATGTCTAAATGCCACATGGTACCCCATAAATACATCCAATTATTATGAATCAACTAAAGTATTTCTTTTGGTTTTGTTTCCCTCTACAGGGTCTTGCTGGGTAGCCCACAGTGATCCCAAACCTGCAATCCTCCTGCCTCAGCCAAACAGTGCTGAAATTCCAACTGTCATGGTTTGAGTATAAAGATAACACACACCACCACCACCACCAAAGACTTGGGTGCTGACAGGTCAGTCCTTCGAGGGTGGCACTATTTGACTGTTTGGGGGAAGTTCTGGAAACTTTAGAAGGCAAGGTTGGAGAAATTAGTACTGTGGCAGATCTTGTAGAGTGTTATCCTTAGACATTCCTGTCTCTTCTTCCTGCCTGCCAAGAAGTGAGACCAGCCTCTGCTTCACACCCCAGTGGCGATGTCCTGCCCACAGCTTGTGGACAAGCAACCCCAGCCTGATGCCATTGCACCTTCCTCTCTTGAGCAGCAACCAGAAAGCTAATACACTGACTGAAAGTTTCTGGCTGATCGTTTTGAGATTGTTTGCTTGGTGGGGCGTGGGGGTGAGTCTTGTTTTGTTTTGTTTTTAAATGTTTTATCTGTATGAGTGTTTTGCCTGCATGTATGTAAGTACACCCATTTCTGCAATGCCCGTGGAGGTCAGAAGAGGGTGTCAGGTCCCCTGGAACTGGAGTTAAGGACTGTTGTTAGCTGTCATGTGGGTGCTTGGAACCTAACCCAGGTCCTCTGGAAGAGCCGCCAGTGCTCTTAACTGCTGAGCCATCTCTCCAGCTCCTGGTATGTTTTTTGTTTTGTTTTGTTTTTTAAGACAGGGTCTCCTGTAACCTA